TGACAAGAAGCAGGTGCAGACATCAAGATTGAGTAATCCTTATGCTACTCTTGCCCGTGGCATGAAGAAGTGAAGAGGATGGCTCGTGGGGACTACGTTGAATGATGTGACTACAGATCTTTTCCGTTTCCCGATAAGAGGAGAATACTTTAAAAATATGAAAGAAAACCAATGTAAGGTAGAGATCACTAAAGGGTAGAGTTTGTGCTATGCCCCCTAAGCACAGCCCAAGGAGGGTGGATGGTGGATTTAAGATGCTTTTGCTTTACCTGGATTCTGGGCTAGGGTTCTCCAGCATAAGTTAAAGCATCCTCAGGGCCTGTTCAAACTATAACTCTCTCCCTATAGCTGTCTACATGCTGATCTCTAGGAGCATGGCTGCCCCTTGCAGCCCCTGATAAACAGCTGGTGGAGTATGATGGGGTAGGCCCAGAAGCACCCCACAAGAATGCAATGCTTTTGTGAAGGTTTCATAATCTGTTGGAAAACTTTCTGTGCTATGAATGGTAAAGGGCATGGTAAAGTTAGTCCCACAAGCTGAAGGTCTGTAACTCCAGCTCAGAAAGAAAAAGCTTTTATAGCACTGAAGCCCCAAAAAAGACACATGTTGTAGCCTTGTATTTAACAAATCTTCAGGTACCTTTGCTAAGTTTGCAGATCTTTAAGGCACTGAAGAGCACACAAATCGCCTTAGCTTGATCAAGTACATTGATGAGCTGTTTTGAGACATCAAAGGTGACCAGCACAAGAACAAAGTGTTATGAAAAAGGGTGTAAAACTAACAAGTAAATTAGTCCTGAAAGGGATTCCCTTCTTCCCCCACCCAGAAGGTGGCTTTTCTTTTTCTTGTAGTCTTGGAAATATCAATTCATTTTCTTCTTGGTGTGGGAGAACACCTCTGAAAGCTGGACAACTGGAGAAGTGCTCAGCCCTTAACAGAAGGAGCACAAGGGTCTTTTCTACTAACTGTTCAGGTGCTTGGGTAAGATTTTTCAAGCACCCTAAAATCCCTTCTCAAATGCATATGTTTTCACACTATAGATGTTTTGACCCTATTTGGTCTAGTGATAATCTCTCTGAGAAAAGCTAGACAACCTGAATTTAGTGCATGGGAACATGTTTAAAAAAGCAACTCAGCTTTATGCATAACAGTGCCAAGGACACTTTTCCTTTTGCACAAACCTTTTAATAGGTGCCGTAAGGTGTCCAGAAGGATTTCAAGTATTGATACTGTTCCAAAACAGAATTTTTTTTTAGTCAGTGGTTCTAAGCAGGCTGCAACCAATTAACCACTGACATTGTTATTCAACTGCATTTAAAACAAATTGACTGCTGTTATATAGCCATCTTCAGAGCTAATCTGCTTTGGTTCCCCATCCTCCATTCTTGTAAAGATACTATGCAGAATGGAAGTTCAGTTTTGTGTGGCTCATACATTAGTGGTAGAGGAAAACAATACTGTATACTTGAAAACATCTAAGAATTTCCTGTTTCCTAAACAGTAGCCCTGTGTTTGTTACATGATAGTGAAAATGTTAAGGCAGAGGATGTTTGTACAATCTGTGCTTTTAGTGAATATTGAAGTGGGTTAGTATATTAATTTATGCTCTAGAGGTTACAGTCAGCTCTTCCAAACTGAGAACTGGGGCAGAGCTCCTGATTGGAGCACTCAGGAAAAGGAACTTATTTTTAGTAAAGTTAGCTGGTAACTGCCCTGGCTTTGAAGGAAGAAGAAAAGTCAAGTTTTGTTCAGTTTAATCTGAAATTAAGGCATGAACATTTTCCTCATCAAGCAAACATCTAGAGCGTAAGCATTTCATAAATAGAAAGATGAAATTGAGGCAGTGCAGTGGCCAACAAGATTGTGTTGACCAACACAGCTGTTTGAGCAGTTGAGTGCTGAAACAGCACTATTGCTTATCGTCTCAACTACTATTCTAGTTGTGTGGTAGCCACCTCCTTAGGCTGTCCTAATCACTAGAGGTGCTTTTCCTCAATTTATGCTGAGGAAGGAGTGCAGCTGTTGAGGTGTAGGGTCACCACTAGTACAGAAGGATAGAGAAACAAGCTATACTTAAGTAGCACTAAAGCTCAGAATGGAAATGAAATAAGAATAGGATACTTACAACTGCTGACCATTTAAACTTGTAAGTCACTTACAGCCCTAGATTTCTACAATTAAGGTGCAGACAGTGGGGCAGCAAGAGACAGACCAGCTTCTAGTAGGAAAAAACAAGCACAAGGGGGCAAATCCTCTACCTACAAATGTAGGTACCACCCAGAAGTCTCACCATGGGCCTCCAATGTATGATTTGGAAAGACTTTTTGAATTACTTCCTGCCTAACAAAGTTATCAGCTGCCTAAAAATCTACTGCCTGCCTATTGAAAAACAGTTGGTTACTGACAAGGCCAGTCAATTATTTCACTGTTAGATTTGCAGTGACAGTAGCTACAGGCTTGAACAGAGTCCCATTGTATAGGACAGCTCCACTCTCCAAGGTTTAAGGAAGAACGTTTCAGATGTCTGCCATACAGGAGCAGAAGAGAAGGGCTGCCTATGACATTTTAAGGGTTGGGGAAAACAAGAAGGAATTTGATCTCTACAACCTCAGCTCTTATGTTCCTATCTCAAATCATTTCCCAGAAAGTTAGTGGAACAGTTGTTGCACTGTTTGATAAGACTTTGGGCCTAATCATTTCCTACCACAATGTGGAGGGCAGTCAAACTCATTTGGCATCTTCCATCTCCCTCCATCCCACTGACACCTCCCATTCACACTGCTTTTGTGAGGAGGGCCTTAGCCAGTGTCCCTCATTTTGTCAATCCCCCATGGTACAAGAGTTTCCCTGTTCCTTGTGGATCATTGCAGTGAGATTACCTGCCTCCAAAACCTTCTCAATTTAGAAGTCAGATGGTCAGAAGACAACAGATACATCACATTAACAGATA